TTTTTTAGTTATCCTATAAATACGGGCGGTAGAGCAACCATCTTAATTTGATGAAAAACCGACAGTAACGGTATTCGCTTTGTTAAAATACCGGTAACATGAAATTGTTTGGATTCCCTCAATCTAAGCCCACCTCTTCCGCTTCAACGCTCAATATACGAAAAGAAACACCATTTACGGTTATGCATTTGTTTACCAGAGTCGTTGTGTCCTGCCGCTCTCCGCCAAGGTCATGTAAAGCGTGGTCAAAATGAAAAATCTCCTATCTATGAGATTAATCTTGAAATGTCTTTGTTGCTGTTGAGTGAGACGGTGTCTGAGTGTATTTATTCATGATGATGCTAGCGTTTGTCTGTGTACCTGTAACAGTGTCGATATGACGTTTTTATTGTCTTTGTTTCAAAGAAGTGAAAACAACCACGATTGGAAATAGAGCAATGATGACAGTATTCAAAACCAAAGTCCATGTCCTAATAATAATAGTACCATGGTTTTACGATGCCCACTTTCGTACTTTTTTAGTAAAGGGAAATTTAGTTATAAAATCGCCTTGACCACCGACAGAAGAACCAATGTTTGCCCAATGATGTTTTCTTTACACAAAGCATCCGAAGTAAGTCAAAACAGCTTTACTAATTTGTTGCGTGAAAAATTTTATCGCGGTGTTACTATTCCACTGTTCGTTGATGCATGGTAGCTTGGCCTTAGACCAGTGACCGGAAAACTAATATTTAAATCAGGAAGCAATTCTTTTGTCAGTAATGTAAACTGTAAATGAAAATCGCAAAAACATTTTAAGGTGACAAATGTAAACAATAAGTGTGTAGCTATGGGTGTCTTGACGTCTTCGGTGGCCTCGCTCCTCGAGCAACCGGAAAATATTATAATACAGAGCAAAATCACTTTGATTCAATGGCTAATATCAAAGCAAACATAAATAAATTAACCGAAGAAATTTCTGACTGGTCGGCTGAATATTCCTCGATTATTTGCTAAGCGTAATTTTACAAATCTAGTCGATTTCCGCCAAGGGGAGTCACTCGAGACGCGCGTGACTAGAAGCGTGAAGAACTTGATCGAAGCTTCGATCGTACGGTATGGTGAGATCAAATACACAATCGGTTTTATTTTCATGCGTGCTTTGCATGTGAACAATGGGAAAAAAACCTGTTATTGTCGTGTGATAACACACTTAATGACCTTAACGATGCTCAATTGAACAGTTTTGACCCTTCATTAAGCGAATTGCAAGCGATCTTAGACCTGAACCAAAATATCGCCACCAGAACCTGGACGAAAAATAAAAATCGCTAACATTCTAACGATCCTACCTTTCGATTCTAAATCCATACCAGATATAAACAAACTGAAACAAGTCAGATGAACTTGCAATCCATGCATCGGGAAAGGTTTCCTAGCAAATCAGCACTGAGGAAATGCGCTACTTTTCTCGCTTTTATAAAGAGTGGGCCTCTCTATTTCGCAAAACAGTAAATCCTTAGTGAAAAGAAAATAATTTCGCGAGGGCTTTTCGAGCCATAATCAATTTCCATCTCTGGTTAATAGAATCCAGAAGCACTCATTGTCCCTGTGGAGCACGATCGATGAAATCGACTTCTACCGAATGATCGAACCCTTAATCGCGTGTTTACGCGTAGGCTTGTGTTCGCAGCTATTGCGTGTTCCCGAAGAATCGTTCAAATTGTATTCTACAATGTTTTCGTACTACAGAGAATTTCGAAGATTTCGGCCAAACAGCGTTCTTTTTGTCGACAGACTAACCCCCCCGCCTTGCCAAATGTACTCGATTTACAAAAAACACCTACATTACAGAGACGCCTACCTTTTGGTGAAGAGTCGAAAATTCTTAGCTTTCCTTGCGGCCCGGCGAAACACTTGGAGAACACCTCGATTACCAGAAGACATATTCTGCTGTCTTTCGTTTACTACGTCACATTGTGCGTACGCCTCTGTAAAGCACTCGTTTATTCGCTTTGAATAATATTTTTAAATTCAAGTCCCATAGGGCTCAGCAGATCTAGGTGAGAATGACTTTCATAAATTATGCCAGCGCCTCAAGCAACATACTACTTGAAATGTCTAAATATCTGTCTTTGGAAATCTGTGCAAAAATATTAAAAAATTACATGAAAAACAATAACAGAGAGCTAAGTCACGATTCACTGATACAAGGCTTTAGTAATCAAATTATCGTATAGGAAGTCATGATTTGTCACTCTTACGTCGACAGCACTGTCAATATTTTTGCAACAGGTAAAATTTATGCGCATATAGATTAACAAATAGTCTGTCGATCAATCAATCTCACTCGATTGATGAATACTGTTTTACTCTGGTTTTTAGTATCTCTGACGAGGGAAGAGGTCGAGAAAAGGTTTCATTCGACAACGAAATTATCTCTGAGGTATTTCTGTCAGGTAAAAAACAATTGATTCCATTATTTCCACAAGTTTATGTCACATTTCCGCATGGACCAGTGTCGGAAAATCGGATTAATTTCGTTCAAATAGCTGTCACAGAAATACAACGGAAACTCTCTAGTAAGGTATTAAGGGATTAGCAATTCGAATGACACTCGTCTCTTAAGAAAAGAAACACAAAAAAGGTCAGTATCTCTGCTTATTTTGCCAAAAATTCCGCCACAATACACGAGCTAAGATAAAAATATTGTGTGACGCAGGTGAAGTCTGCCTGCGAAAACGATTTACACAGCTGCCAAGACTTTTTCGTTTTTTTGCCGTACGAAGTGACTCGAAATATTACTACTCTCCCTGGATGGGACGCATGTCTATCGCAGCCCCCCCCTCCCCTTCCTCCCTCCAGCATTAATCAGGCTTCCTTGAATTCTGGTACCAATTTACACTCCTGGGTGAAGAGAGCGGATCACAGTAACCCAAAGAGTCAAAATCGTCACTTTTGAACCGCAGTCCTACAGCACGCCACGCTTCGGTCATAAGACCACCGCTACCCTCACAAACAACTGTCATAAGGCGTGCAGCAAATTAAGAAAAAAATCGTAATCATTTCCCTAGCTTCGAGGTCACCTCAGTTAGGAGCGTACAGTTTATGGATTTAGCACTTATGGTGCGAGAAAAAGAGGCGTCACCATTTTCCGAGGAGTAAGATGTTTCTCACGCTCCATAATATTAGCGCAAACAACAAACTCCTCAGCGGCTAATGATACAGTTTACGACTCACGCTTTAAGTACCCAATCATTTGAGTTTTAACTGACCTGACCATCATTCCCATGTTACACTCCTAACCCATGACAAATAATCCCTCTGTCAATACCCTTTTCAAAATTCTGTTGGACGGCGTTTCTCGGGGACTAAACTTTTAGTACGTAAGGAAATGGGATTGAGAAAAATGTTCATGCTTGTCTCTCACTGGAATTAAATATGATCATGACAAAAGCCGGTTCAAATTTTCAATTAGCAAGTCAATAACAGGTGGATTTTCAAGGGCGTGTTGGTGTTTCTCTGTTTCTTCAAAACAACATGTATCGCGTGTGATATGTTTTGTGTCCATAGTAACACAGCGCTTCGCTTTCCATTGGGAAAACTGTCCAATCATTGGCTAAAGAAGTAAAAATATATCCTAGTATAACAAAGACGAGGAAATATTTCCACTTTCTCATTAAAAATGTTTTCAGTTTCGAGTGCGTGAATGATTGTCAATTGATTAAGGAAGTTAGACAGATCTCACCTTATACGGTCACGTATAAACACAAGATCCCATCCTATGTAATAATAATTTCCTTAGTTCTTCAGCTTTCAGATTGAGTGGAAAAACGATCACAAAATATACGCATAGAGGTGCCAGTCAAAGTAGTTCTAAATCGTATAATAAAAAACCATTACGTAGTTGCATTGTGGATATCAGCCCGAGCAGGTTTAACACAGCACAAGACGATAAGATCGACACGCGCGAGCGAAATGTCACATTCTGTTTAGGGTGAGCGACATCCAACAGAAACATTACTTTATTTACATAAGCATAGGCTAAGCGCGTGGTGGCCCCTGAGAGTTTCAACTTTAATACACTAAGAACTCAAGTAAGTCATGCAATTAAGATTTTCGCCCGCCTATTAACTCCGTACTGCCTAGTGACAGGTGGTAGGTGAGAACGAGTCATACACGCACGAGGGAGATTAGACCTTCGCTCGCGTGATGGACTTCTCGCTCGTTCAAGTCGCTTTTAAATCACCCCCACGAAGGTAATGAAATCGGCTAAGGTTAACATTCACAACCGATAGTTTACGTTCCCTAGCGTAAAATTCTGGTGTCTGGCGAGACAGACTTGTCAAAAGCTTGGTAAGAAAGCGTTTACATTAATTAACGTTTAGGCACCTTATAACACGTACCTTTGTACGAGTGTATCTCCAGTAAACGACTGGCAACCATTTCCCTGAACCGGAATAAAAGTGCGTGAACTCCTAGAGGCGACGAAACTCGTTGTCATCTTTAAAGCGAAAAACAGTTTTGTAAAATCAGTGAACAACGCAAACAATGACAGGCCGAGACGAAGCAGGTTGAACTGAATACTTCCTTAGGCTGTACATCGATTTTAATAGTTTTAGATCGCGATTAAATTACACCGGGCAATTGATCCTCTGCTATGTTTGGTACTCGCTAAGAGGGGGATGCCATGAAGTGAAGGTGCTCTCTTGAGAAGTGTTCAAGTACCAAATAATGGTGCATATTTTTACATCTAGTGTGTAACAGTGCTAAAGAAAGGCTTTGGTAGACTAAACATCAACTCACACAGTTTCAATTTCCGGGTGCTTAAAGCCCAGACTCAGCTGTTCAAAGGGCAGATAACGCAATCCAATGGATAAATCGCAATTCAGCGAATAAGCGTACTGCGTTATTCAATAGATAGAGATTTATGCAATGAATAACAACCGGGCAATCAATGCAATGAATAGCAACCGCCTACCATTAAAAACCTCCGTTGTTAACACTAGCATGACAAACAAAGAACAAAAGCTTTTATTCTGAGAAAAAAAATTATGAAAAAATGAAACCAGTTTTAAAGAGATCAAAACACAGTTCGAATAGAAGTGTCCAGTTCACCATCCGTCAACCGCTGGCGGCGCATTTCGTCCACAGTAGCGGAGATTACATCCGGGAGTTGGGCCGAGTTTGTAAACGTAGAATCCACCACAATTCCTCACCAGTACCTTACGGCGAAGCTCGCAACAGCCGGACACATAATCACCAAAACAAACCATGCGTTCAACACACCCGTCATCTTTATGAGGATGCGAGCCAAACAACCAGCCGGGATATTGTGTGTTACATCTACCGGGGCCTGGGCATGCGTTTGGCATCTGAACCCCAGCGGAACCAGAAATTCGGTACCAACCCTCTGCTAAATTGTCGTCGCATTTACCCAACAATTCTCGACTCATGAGGTTTCTGTCCTGCTCTGTCAGGAGGCGGTAGTGTTGGCATTCGTAAGCCACTAGTCCTACATTGTAACCTAGAAAAATAGAACGAGGCATAAAAAACGGCAGACTCATGCGTTGATAATCGAGTGTCATCTATGTCGAAATTAAATGTAAATTTCGAAAAAAAAAATGAGGTTTATGATTTGGAATAAGACACTTACAAATTGACGTTGATAATTGATTGATAATGGCGATAGTCTGGGTCGAATTCAAATCCAGCGCTAGTGTTTCATGCCGAGACGAGGAATGTCGTTGACCCCCCTCCCCTCCTACGAGTGTTTCTGGTGTCGCTTTAGCCTCATCAGCAAGTAAAACAGCACGGAATCCGCGCGAAATAGAACACGGCGCAATAGTAGCAACAGTGGGAAAAAAACGAGAGAGGTTTGAGTCAGGTCGTTCATTACGCCACTATCTCGCCGTTTACAATCGCGCTTCGTTTTCCTTAATGAAAAGTATGGAATAGGCTTATTTCATCTATGATTTTTAACTGATTAAAGCTTGATTTCCTCCGCACACTATACTCCAGGCCTGATCTTCCCCGGGTGTCTGTTTGGGGTAGGAGTGTGAGCTCATTTTCCGAACAACGGTGGGTTATCGAGGCTCATTTTCCGAACAACTGTTGGTTATCGAAGCTAACACTGCAAAGACACGGAGCTACTAAAATGTAGAATTTAGTAAACTTACAATAAGGCTGAGTTCCGCTCCACACTCCATCTTTGCCACAAACTCTGGCAGACGATCCATACAGCATACAGCCTGGATTGCAAGCAAACCTCACAATACTTCCCACAACAGAATAATCATCGCTTATCTTGTAACCGTCGACAGGATCAGCCAGCTCACGGCACTTTTGAAGCTCTGCACACACAAGAAGTCAGCAAGAAATCAATTGTAGCAATTTCCAATCGAAATTAAGAGCAGGTTTCAATTAAATGACGCAAAATCACAACCAAAGTAATCGCAATAGCCAATCATGAAAAAGGTTTGCGTCATCATGAGCTAATCATAAGAAAGGTTTGCGTCATCATGAACCACTCATAAAAAAGGTTTGCGTCATCATGAGCCGATGAGGAATCAAGGTGAAGAAAGGCATACAACCAAAAGCGCGGGAAAACGCGAGCGAACAAGGTATCCTTTGTTTCCAATGCGTCTGAATGAGTTTAAGTATCGCGCGAGACTAATTACATTCGGAAATAAGCTTACGTTTAGTTTGTTCAGTCCTGCAAACAAGGATAAGTGTGAGTCGAGAACGCGACAAGTGCGAGAAGCGAGTCAAACGCGAAGAGAGGAGCGCGCCCCTTCTGAAAAACATCCCAAAAAAGACGCCTATTCTACAGAATACTCACCAATTGTCGTCGTGTACGTGAATGGTTCGTTCCTCACAGAGGTTGTTCCAACGCATTTGTAATCTCCCTGCTCTTCGGGTCGAAGCCGCTCCAGGTTTAATTCTCCAGTAACCTCATCGCCATCGATTATTGTCCTCGTTGGCATGGCAACACCATCCTTATACCAAGTGATATTCGGCATAGGCACACCACGTGCGGAGCAATTTACGCGGACAGGAGCATCGAATTCTTGGAGTGTCACAATGCTCAAAGGAACGTTTGTCACTTCCACTGGTTCTGGGAAAGAGTTTAAGGGACCAATCAGTATTTGTCACCGGCGGTTGGGA